AATAATAGAATGCACGGTCGTTGCTATTCGCGATTCACGTTCACCTGTCGATCGCGACTTCGGCAGAGGAATTCGAATTCCGCGTAATCGAGAGTACCCTCGCTCGTCGACGCACCCTCGATACTTGGAGTCGCATGATGCAATTAATTCGAATTCAAGCACAGCGGAATGCGAATGATCTTATAGATGTGAAAAGGCAAGAAATTCGTCTTGAGAATTATTTATAAGAATAAGAAAGGTCTCTCTCTCTCGTTAATATCGAATATCATTCGGATTGTTTGAATTAGGACGACATTTGAAATTCATATTTCGATTATGATTTCGATTAAAATGGAAACCTATCCGAGCCGCGAATGGAAAATTGCCATTCATAGCTTGTGCAAGAGATGCAAACGCGTCCAGGAATATGTTCGTGCAATTGATAAGACTAAAAATGAAAGTAGGATGTTCGGGCAGATTTTATTGACGAACGTATAGATTTTTTCGAAATGTTTCAATAGCGTCATGCGATTATTTACACTTCCACTCGCCATTTTGTGATCACCCCGCGGCAATTCGCAAACCATTCGCTTCGCTTCGCTCGACGGTGGTTTATATCATTTTTAGAATCCTCTGTTGAAATTCTTTCGCGAAATGATGTATTGTATTATAACAGAGGATTCGAAAGAAAATTGGCCAACTCGTTAGCGCTACTTATAATATAATTTCCATGAAACCCCGTAGCGATATATTTTCTGTATATGCGACTTTTGTATGAAATCACTGCCTTTTTCTGTCAATAAAGAGAGATAATATCATTCATCCAATTTTCAGTAAGCAATAAGACACAAGAGACACGTTACTTGATATTTTCGCAATCTTACAAATTTATCTTCCCTTTTTCTCTTGTTATTATACAATCATATTTAGATTTAATTAAACTTACTTCGTAGAATATTTTACAACACAATGACATTTATTATTTTTCATAATTTCTCAAGGATTCATTTGAAATATAAAGTTACATTCCTTTTTAATTAACGAAAATTAATTTCAAATTAATATTACTGCGCAATGATCTTATCGTTAATAACGTTTCAGTGATACAATTTCATAAACATATCGTATCACAAGAATTATCCAACTAATGTTATTGATAAAATGATCGTTACACGATGTTATTGTAAAGAATAATTTGTTTATGAAATGTAATCTCATCATGATACACATTTGTGTTTGTAGTCGATAATTTAGACATTAATACATAAAACATAATTTCCCTTCATGTTCCGCCATCAACTTGTTTAATACCAAAATTTTACACAAAATTTAAACAAAAACAACTTCTGAATGATGTTGCAGAAAGTAGAAAATAATACATGTTTGATACATGAAGAAAATAATATCAATAACTACATATATATTAATTTCGTGTGTATGCCATATGGTTGGCAATACACAGCGATGACATTCAGCTATAACTCAATGTTATAACATTTAAGATTGACAGATTATCATCGATTAAGCATCATTAGAGCATTCGCTTGGTTTTCTACAAGCGGGATATATACGCAAGCGAATTATAGTTATCGTGTTGCAGTGTCGTACAATGCCCGTTTCTGTTTACTCGATTTTTATTCATGTGACCCATCGTGGTCCGTCGATGGAACGACGTAACGACATACGTATAAACGACCGAGAATCGTCGGCGTATATACGCACGGAGACCGAGAACCGTTTATCGCTCGAGCGATAACTCGGCGAGTCGGCCGCCAGGCGGCGCTCCGCTCGTCCGCAGCTACACTCCTATTAGCTGTGGCGCGGTCACGTGACACGACCGCGGGACGCGCCCGCAGCGCCAAGCGCATTTGGCGGGCTCGTCGCGTTTAGACGGCGTCGTTCGTGGCTGTTCGTCTATCGTGCTGTGTGAGAAGTGCCGAATATCCACGTCGCGCAATGGTGAGTATCCGCGAGTTTTTGACGCGTACGACGGCCATCCGCGGTCACTGCGGGCACCACCGCGTGCCGCGTACTCTCCTCCGTCGACTGGCGGAGTTTCACGGCTGGATCTCGTGAATTAACCGTGATTTTCGTGTCCGAACAGGCTGGCGGTAAGGCGGGCAAAGACTCTGGCAAGGCAAAGGCGAAGGCGGTCTCGCGTTCGGCTAGGGCCGGCCTGCAGGTGAGTTGTGCCGACGCGGCGTACACGCGCCGTACATACGTATGTTGGCGGGGATCGATTGGCGAACAAACACACACGCGCGTGTTCCCGGCGGCACGTCCCTGCCGGATTTTGTCGCGACACAGTCCCTCCGCGCGTTCCCGCGGCTTTGTAGGTTAAATCATCATGGTTGGCGCGCGAAAAATCCGACCGCGACTCGTCGAAGGCGGATTTTCAGCGACTCGCCGCTCGCTCGGATACATCGTGTGGACGCGTCGCGATGCCGCGTGCCTCGTTCTATACCCGCTATGCCGAACCTTCGAGAAACAGTCGTGCGGGACGGTTTATTTTTCGAATTCGTCGCGTGCGGTCCGCGGACCGTTTTCAAACGCGGCGATTCCGGCGGCCGACCGGCTCGCCCGCTCGAGTCGCCCCTCCCCTTCCCTCCACTGCCCGGGGATCGTTTCGGCGCGATTATTCGACCCCGCGACGACCCCGACGACCCGCCGTAAATCGAGAATCAATTTTTGCCGCGCGAGTCCCGCCGCTCGTGACGATCGCGCGACCGCGATCGTTGCGAGCTCGACTTCCGTACGCGGCCGAGCGCTCCAACTGACGCGACGGGCGAAGGCGTCGTTTCCGTTCGCCGTTTGTTGTTTCCCGTCGCTCAGCCGCGCGATCGCCACGACTGACGATTGTCATCGACGCTCAAGAACGGCGTGGCGCGGCGGCTCGGTTTGTTTTTATCGTATTTACGTCCACGAATATCCCATCGATCGTGCGTACAGCCGCGTTTATCCGTCGAATCGTACGATTCCGTACGGTCGATCGAACCGCGACAAGGCGCGAGAATTGTAAATTCGAATCGCCGACTTGTTTTTCTCCTCGATCGTGAGAAACGTCGCCGCGTGACGATGTCAATTCGGAGATAGGCGAATATCCCGTCGATCGTTCGTCATTTGCGTTAGATGTCTAGGCATAAACGGAACGGTGATGTTTCGAGAGAGAGAGAGAGAGATTATCACTCCGGCATGAATTTCGTTCCATCTACGATCGTGCGAGGAATGCCGCCCATTCGACGGGGAATGCAATTTTCGTTAATACGATTTGACGATCCGTGTAACAAAATTCCGCCCAACAAAATCGAAGTTGCGTAATACAGGACGGAAATAAACATCATAAATCTTTTTTTTAACTCTACCGGTTTTAAATTCATTCATTTTGTTTGGTTTAGTTTATTATTATTTGCAATGTTGTATCCCTCGATAATTACATTAAAAGTGTCTCACGAAATTGAAAGTTAATGTTTCTATAAGAAAATTAGCAATTTCTAAGAATGTTTATTTTAATCTTTTTTATTCTCGCTGTTTACTTTAATTTGTTTCTAAAATTTGAAATCCAAATATTTTAACAGAATTGTGTTTTTTTTTACATCGAGAAAAAAAAATTACGCATCTGCGATTAGACCGGTGTTATCGCGTTATTTATTGAAAATTCTAAGTTCTTAACGATCGAGTTCATCTTTGATATGTTATCGACATGTCGTGAGACACGTCGACCATCGTGGAGACCATCGTCGTGATTAGAATACTTAATCGAAACACAGTGCTCTTTAAATATTAAAAAAATCGACTGTCACTGCCGACGAAATGTACGATCGCGTTGAACACGATCGAATCAATTTGTCTTTCGAGAATCGCGTAATGGCTACATTTAGCTGATTTAGCGCTAAATGCGGCATGCGAACCGAAGTGACAGGCACCTATACAACACGAGTTGATATTCCTGCGATAATTTCGGCAATAACATTCGACAAATAAGATTATTTCTATACAGCGCGTATTTCGGAAAGAGATTAGCGAATACTCGCGAGACACCGATACTTCTGGACGTTTCTCCCCGCCGCGGGGGGAATATACAGCGGATTAATTATACCTTCGTCGTACTTTGGAGTACATACAGATGTACGTACGATCGTGCAGAAATTTAAACGTATTCAACAAGTCTTAATCGATAGATATTACCCGGCGAATGGTGCTTTGGTAGAAAATCAACCGGCGCCAACTGCGTGGAAGATAAAAGAGTCCGACCGGAGTTACAACTCTGATGTGGACCATCGGATTTTAATCTTATCTCCAAGTTAAACGCAACATGATTACAATAATAACGAAAACGCGTGTATCGCCGGCGCGTGCTGGCATCATCCGATAATTCATAAACGACTGCCGTGAACGCGCGCGAGAGAGATAGGGAGCTCGTCTCGACTCAGGTGTAGCTTGAATTCTCTTGACAACGCTGGGATGTATCGCCGCACGAGTGTGTCTCGTTGCTATGAATCCTAAGGGGTCTCCCCCTTGGAAACGCTACGTTTCGACGTGTCGATCGTGAGTCCAGTATCAACGGTGAGACAAAATTATTGTACAACAATATCGACCGCGCTTAAGAGAGACAGAGAGGAAGGGGTGGGGGGGGGGGGCTGGAGGGAGGGAGGACGTAGCCACTTACATGTCGCGCGATCGGCACGGGAGAATCTTCGAGCGAGAATTTTAGAGCAACGGACGGGAGCTCTAGAGCGAGGTTCCTGAGCGACGTCTCGGGACATGCGTCGGATGACGAAACTTTATGCCAAAAGACTGGAGAGGCGAGCGAACGTGTGAACAACAGAGAGAGAGAGAGAGAGAGAGAGGAGAAACGAAGCGGCAGAGAGAGACAGAGACGAGGAATGAGAGAGATAGCGAGAAAGAGCGAGCCAAATCGTGCCGCTCGATATTCGTAGCGTGAGAATGGGACGAGGTCCGATATTCGCGCGCGTTCCGCGAACAGCCGACAGATGAGCGGGAATTTTCCTCTGTCCCTCTTAAGAGAGAGAGCAAGAAAGGGAGGGCGAGGAGAGAGAAAGAATAAAGAGACCGGCGGAAAGATGCGGAATGTGCCGAAATGACTAGGCGGAATGTGCCCGAGACAGTTTGCGAGAATAGACGGATACGACTTCCCGGAGACGCGATCTCTCTGGAGAGGAGAACGCGAGGGTACGAGCGAAGACTCATCTCGGTCGCATTGCGGAACGCGTCACGGAAATCCTTGCCGTCGCTTATCGTTCGATATTCAAGCCTCGGCCGTCGAGGCTGCCTGCCGACGCCGTGATCGGACAACGGCCGGATGTCATGCGGATGGATAGTAGGCGAGAGCTTGACCCTGTCCGGAAAACGTTCGGTCGTTACTAACGTAGAGGTTCCGGCAGAAGTCACTAGACTCAGTAGCGGATTGAGCCACCAAAAGCAGAAAAAGATTTCAGAAAAAAATTTTCGAATTTTTGACATATTGCCAATTTTAGGAATTGTTATCATGCAGCCCTAATGTTATTAATCTTAATATTTTAATATTTCGATAACTAAAAGAGAAATCAATTCTCGCGGAAATTATAATGAATATCACAAAGTGACGCACTCTTTATTAATTTTATTATCATTTATTATTTGTTTTTCAATTTTATTTGTGTGAAAAATTTTCAAACGTACAAGTAATAAAAATTTTCAGCACGAGATAAATTATCAATTTTGGAGCTACTATATTTATCAAAGATAATAAAGATTGGAATATATTATTTTTACATATTCGAGAATTGTATTGGTTGTTAATATGTTTTTATTAAATATCTTTTTCATTAAATATTCTTTTTTTATATTATTTTTATATTTTATATATTCTTTTTTTTAAATAAATTTTTTTTTGGAGCTGCCCTAGACGAACGTCTGATGTGTCCATGAAAGAAATCCGCCCCTGAGACCAGTGGATTCGCCAAGAACCATCGTTGGCACTAGGAGCGCTTTAGATCAAACGTTATTTATGTATTTTATCCGCCTTCATTCGCTAAGTATACAGGGTGTTTCTTATCATGTTACGAGAGATTATCTGTTTTATTAGGAAATTCTTATAATCGATATGTTAACTTATGAACAATGCAGTTTGCATTACATATTTTCCGTCTGATACAAATATTCTGAAGAATGAGGATTAAGTTCAAACGAAAATACAAAATTGAAACTTATGTAAACTTTTTTCTCACGTCTACGCTTCTAATTTATGCTTCAAACGCTTTTTATCCGGAAATATTTTACTTATCCCAAATATTTTATTGGATATGATTGATACCGGATAATATTTATTTTTTCTCCCGTGCTGTCACGTTACAGCAGATATATCGCTTATCATGTTGCGTTTTTATAACGCTATTTTTTTTTGTCATTATACAACTAAGGAAAAATTTCATCACATTTCTTTTCATGTTTCTAATCTTAAATTATACTCTTTTTCGAACGTTCCTTCACAAGATTGGGTAATTTTATTCACTGATATTCCGGAATAAATACGGTCTAGAAGTGCAAACTTTTTTTTATTTTAAATATTTATTTATCTTTTCTTCTATATTTGTATTCGGGCTATCGCTTCTGACAATAACGTAAATAAAACGTAAAAAACGTAAATAACGAAATAAAACCTCGCATTGTGACGTACGGATATACCCGGGTTTTGGACACGGTGCAAAATTCGATTTTGTTTCCGGGAATTAAGTACATTTCATTGTTGGCGATGTCCGAGAAATGGAACGTCGGTAACAAGGCTTATTGAGTTTACCATAACTACGTAGCAGTCGAAAACAGTCGTTCCCTTTTCGCTCTGAACTTTAAGCCCACACGACTGTGGAACCGAGAGCTTTTTATATCACTACACATGTATTTACATACATTTCTACGCGTAACAGTGATGTCAGTCCTTCAAGATATAAGAAACGTGTACCGTGTGTCGGGCTACGGGAGGGGAGGGAGAAGGGGCGCGGGCAACCCCCCTCGTCACTCGATCGCGGGCTAATGTGACACAACTCATTGCAGTTCCCCGTAGGCAGAATTCACAGGCATTTGAAAACCGAACCACGAGTCATGGTCGGGTAGGCGCTACTGCGGCGGTGTACAGCGCGGCCATTTTGGTAATACCTTACGGCCGAGGTAAGTGAGTTTAATTGTATGTGTGTGTGTGTGTGTGTGTGTGTGTGGCGCGCGCGCGTATGGGTGTGTGTGATGGGAGCGATGCGCGCATGCGCACAGGTATGAGGGAGAGAGAGAGACGCGCAAGAGATTGTAACTGATATTGAAACCGAGACCGAAACCGAGACGCTATTAACTTCTGAGAAACATCTCGCAAGATTATGTATATATTGTACACAATGTACAAATGAGAACATGACAATTATTAAAATGAAAGGAAATATCTTGAGAGAAAAGACGACTGAACTCATCGACAAAGAGAAATGGATGGATACGCGTTGGAACGCGAACAGTAAATATAATAAAAGATAATGAAGTAGGTGGAGTCATACTTTTGTAAAGATATGCTCGAAGTTAATTAAAGAAAATACTAATGTATCCCATTGCCTTATGCTGATAGTTAATAATTAAGGTAAGGACATTGGAAATGTTATCTAATCGTTAAATTACCGTTATACTTGAAAGCGATATAATTCGATATAAATATGACCAACTTAAAACTTACAATAATTACATTGTCCGCATAATTTTAAATAATTAGCATCTAGTAATGTACGCGCAAAGAAGAAGAGGACAAAGAAAAATGGCATCGAATAGAGATAAAGAGAGGAGGAGGAAATTAAAATACAGCAGAGAAAACAGTCGTTATAAATCCAGCGTCACAAGGTGGCGTCCCAGTCTAAAATCATGGCTATCTTTCCCGCCTTTATTTTTGAATCGAATGCATTTTAAATGATTAATATTTGATCTGACTTTAGCTAATATATATTAAACTAATATACACTTAAATAAAATAGATATATGTTCGAAGTTTGTTGTTTGAAAAAGATAATTTTAATGCAGCAATAAAAAATAGATGCAATTCACTTTGCATCGTAAATATATCGAGGAATTGATTAACCCAAGTAAAAAAAGCTTAGCTTTGACGCATTTTAAGTATCAAATGGACTACAGTTTAAATATTTAATATTACACGTACATTACACGTATTTACTGAAATCAAAATTATGTGAAAAATTTATTTCAATCAGCAAACAAGGTTGCTTGTAATTTTCATCATTTTTGTAATTGCGAAATGATTGCCGATGTATATTCTGCTTTGAATAGTTTATTAAATTATTTCTTTCTGTTCAGGTATTGGAGTTGGCGGGAAATGCATCAAAGGATCTGAAAGTAAAACGTATTACACCTAGACATTTGCAACTTGCCATACGTGGTGACGAAGAATTAGATAGTCTCATTAAGGCAACCATTGCAGGAGGAGGTATGTTCCGTCTCATAAATTTTATAATGCAATTTACAATTAATGTATCTTGTTCATTCTGATGGATTTATTAATGGATTTATTAACTTTGAAATTCATCAACAACTTTTTAAGATAATAAATTTTATATATAGTATAAAATCTATTGCAAATCATGTTTTTCTTTTAATGAAATTTATACAAAAAAGGCTGTATACATATCGTTTGATTTCAGGTGTTATTCCACATATCCACAAATCACTTATCGGCAAGAAGGGTTCGCAGAAGCCAGCATAATTTAGCGACAATTGACATTGAACATTTCAAGATTCGTGGGCAAACGGGAGGAGGAAAGAGTTGGTCCAGTGCTTGTTAACAAAGTGTACCTAGGTTACTAAATCGATGGCGAGACTGGCGTGATATATACATAGATTATATATATATATAGATATATAAATAAAACAGTATATTGAGATATAATTTAATATAGATAAAAAATGAGAGTTAAAGAAAAGACAAATGTTCATTGACAATTGACAAACGGACAAGACAGGGAGAAAGAGAAAGAAAAAGAATTCTACGCCGAATATAAAATTCTAGTGTGTTGCGAGCGATGCGTTATAGCATGGCTCGAAATAGCACGGCAGTCTTTGGTACAGTTTGCAATTTATGAACATTGCGGAAACAGAGAGGATACCTACATGCCTCTTTAATTATCACATTTAATTATTTGCTACGTTGAACGAAGTTATCGATTACTTTATCAAACCGCCATCGCTTAACTTCGTTTTGTATTTTCACCTTTGAATCGCCGCTGAATCGTCATGTGCCGCTAAAGACAGATTTTGTTAATTTGCTTCAGCACTATTTTTATTTCATAGTTTACAATAAGCGTCAGCGCAGTGTTGTGTTTTTTCATTTATTATCTACAGTTGTAATGTACTGTATCGAATTTAGTACATACACGTTTGTCAATGGAATTCTGATATATAACTACAAACAGTAAAAATTTGTTATCGTCAGATTCATTACGATAAAAAAAGAAAAAAAACAAGAAATGGCGAACATTTATATGCATATTTCTAATTTTCAACTTCAAATAATTTCATTTGACCAAATATGTATACAAGTACATGATAAAGTTTTTTGATCTTCTAGATATTAGACATCAAATCTTTATATGTTCACAAGTTTCTTACGCTTTCCTCCTGTCAGAATCACGATGATTATTAATAGGGTTTCGATAATAATAGCAACGATTCCAGAGTTTCAAAGTTTAAACTATGTGACTCGATTGTACATAGCGTTTTTAATTACATACAGAAAACTCATGTAACATATACAACGTAAATGTTGAATTCTGCGAGCTTCTGAAATTAAATATGAACTGAAATGAACTTTTCGTTTCATAAGATTAAGAAATGTTCGGTTACATTGTAAATTTTCTGGATATTGCGATCTTAATAATAGCGAAGACTGACTTCGATTCTTGTAAAATAATCTCAAGTGGATATAAAAACTATTTGAGATACTTGAAAGTTTATTTGCACATGTAGGAACGTGCCGATTTTTATTTTCACTTTAAGCATTTTTTCTTTCTTATTTTAACGTTTGTCACTTCTTATTCATATGATTTAGCATAATTTTTATTGTACCTACACGGTGTCGCACCACATGTAAAACTTTCATTTTCATAATAAAATTTTTATTAGTAAACTTTTAATTTCGCTTAAAATTTTAAAATCGACAAGGATGCATGTTTTTTAGAAAAAAAAGCAAAACTATGCTTTTATTTTAATAGGCAAGATCGAATACTTTTAATTATAAAAAAAAAAGATTGACAGTATGTGAAAACTCGTATCATTTTCAAGAAAAAAAATTTGTCGCATTTATGCACCCATCTCAGAACAATAATAATAAAAAAAAAATGGAAACAAAGCAAGCGTTTCTTGCGTGGCATATACTATGTCACGCTTTATAAATAAGCTTTGCTTTCACGTGCCTCGTTCCACACACATCGAAACAAAATACAGATATATACCTTTGTTGTGTCATCCATCGTAACACGGCGTCTCGTGCAGTTCAGTGCGTCCGTGCAGTGGCGCCATCTGACGGGCGACGCGCAAAGCCACCGCAGATCCCCGCCGACGACTCAGCGAGCTGCTCGCCGGGCGAGGTAGTCGTGTGGGAACAGTGAAGGGGGGAGAAGTGTCCGCGCCATTGGTGCGAGCGCGAGCGAAACGGAGCGAGGGTCGGAGCTCCCCACTCCCGCGACGGCGCGGCGCTTCGTGTGTAGTCGCAGTCGCCTTTCACGGGTACGGTCGGGTTGGTCGGTCGGTCGGTCGGTCGGTCGGTCGTTCGGTCGGTCGGTCGCCCGAGCGGGGCTTGGAACAACATACACGTTCGCGAACGCGTTTTTCGTCCGAGTCGCTCCGGGAATTACGTCGTCGTCGCATCGGTGGAGTCCCTCTCGGTAAGGGCCGGCTGCGACACGCAACGCAACGAGACACGCACGCATACACGCATACACGCGCACGCGGCGGACAGACGTATACCTCTCTCTGTCCTCATACTTCGTCGCGAGAGCGCCGCGCGGTCCGGACGCGCACTCGACTCCACGGTGACAGGTCGCGTGGAGCAGAAGTGCGAGAGTGTGCGTCTCCCAGAGAGGACGCCGTTATCCTTCCTCGCGTCTGTCACGTTAGGAAAAAACAAATCGAGAGAGGTAGACGAGCGAGCGGGCGGGCGCGCGCGCTCGTTGGGATTATTTAAAAACGCGCACCGCCCTGAAGCGGGTTGCCGCGTCCGTTCGAAGTACAACACGCCTCTGCCGCGTTAAGTTTTGCCGGTATGCATGGTTATCACCTGCATCCGAATTGAACGTGCGCGCGCGGTTTCGTTTTTTCCTACCGACGATCCTCTCCCGATCCCTCGATCAGTGCCAGGCCGCGTGCGGAATTCGCATCCGTGAGTTCAAGGAAAGAGCGCAATCTCCTTTCCTTTTTCGCTCGCCTCGCTCGACGTCATTCGTATCGTCGTTCGTATCGTCGTTCGTATCGTTCGACGTTGTTTCAGAGCGAACGAAGTCATCTGCTGGAGCCGGCCTCCGTTCGCGTGACGTCATTCAGGTGATTCCCTTGCTATTTTTAAATTGCGACATGATAGAAGGAGAAGATCCTTACTCAGATCCTTTAACTTAAGGGGAAAGTAAATTTTTTTATTTTAATTTTCTTCATTCTCCTATTGTTACATTGAAGGTACTTTATATCGATGTTTACAATCGATGTTCGTTGTTTTCGATTGGTGGAGTCATTTAAAATTGTAAAAAAACTGAAAAACGTGAGTTTAAATTACATATATATATA